AAAAATTGTCTCTTCAAAATCTTGGTGCGTCTTATACTCCGGTGCACCTTATACTTTGAGAAATATGGTATTTCAAGTTTGAAAACTTACACTGGGCGTCTCTTTGGTCTCCGGTTTAGCTTCCTTGTTGGTGTTCTTCGTTTTGGAGGTTGCTTTGGCCGCAAACATTCCCATAATGCCTTTCATCGGCTGGGCGGGCTGCTTGGAAGACGCGCCTGGAGCATGGCCGTTGAGCGCGGGAGCGAGGAGTGCACTTGTGGCAGGTGGAGGCTGGGGGGGCAGTTGGGCGGGGTTCTCAGCCTGGGGGTCTTCAGCGACAGACCTGATGACGGCAGCAGGACAGCAAATGGCGCTAAATCTAGGAGCGGAATGAACACATTGGGTTAGCAATGGAACTAAATACAGGCAAGTCCTCAACTTATGACCGCAATGGAGCCCAAAATTTATGTTGTTGAGTGAGAAAATTGTTCAGTTTCAATTGTCAAAGATCTGGAAACAATTTCAGTTTTCAGCAAAGTCGCGTCCAGATCCATTTGTCGACTGTCCCAACTTGGTCCATCAGGAAAGAAAGGCTCCTGACCCATGATTAGCTAAAAGTATACAGGCTGTCCTCGATTTACAACAGCTCATTTTATGAACGTTCAAAGTAACAACAGAACTGAAAAAAAATTATGTAAAACGACTTAATACAGTTTTGTCACACTTACAACAGTTGCACCCTCCCCATGATCACGGTGATCAAAATTCAGACACTCGGCAACTGACTCATCTTTATGACGGTCGCAGTGCCCCAGGGTCGCACCAAGTTTTGCGAACTTCTGACAAGCAAAGTCATTGTGGGGGAGCCAGATTCACTTAACAATCCTGTGACTAACTCAACGGCAGTGATCCGCTTAATAACCGTGGAAAGAAAGGTTGTAAAATGGGGCAAAAACCACTTAAAACACATTTCACGTAGCAATGAAAATTTTGGGCTCAACTGTGGTCGTAAGTCAAGGACTACCTGTGCTTTACTAAAGCCGAAGTGGTTACAGAAGAGCCAAAGCTGGTTCAGAGATTTCCGCGCACAAAAGATACGCTAACTTTCCCTTGGTCCCGGACAATCCCCCCCTGGTTCATCAGTAAAGGTCCAGTCAGCTATTAACAAATGGTTTAAGCCCTCACTTCGTGCGCTCACTGGCAGTTGGGTGTTTCCCATGGGACAGCATGTCTTGGGTTCGATTCAGTGGTGAAATCTAAAAAAATTTTACTACCAGGTTCTGTGGGCGTGGCTTGGTGGGGTGTCATGTGACTGGGTGGGCGTGGCTATGTAGTCATATAACTGGGGGATCAAAGGACAGAAACTCACTTTAACAATGTCCTGCTGGAGCAGGGTTGGACTAGATGACCTCCAGGTACCTTCCAGCCCTGGATTATCCTGTGAAGCTGCGTCTAGTGCCAGGTGTCAGGCCTGCCATTATATTCCTTTTAGAATTTTGGCCTGCCACACTTTCTCTTATTTCATTATGTTGTTTCATTAGTATAGTTGATGGGAGGGGGGAATAGACAGGGGTAGGATTGTGGAATGTATTGTTTTCATTCTTTGCTAGAAGCCAAGGTCATCTTTTA